GGAAAAGACGTGAAAGAAAGAGCAGAATGTGGATGATATAATTGCGGAATGGTGCAAAGAACTAAAAGAATGATCATTTGGTGTGATTACTAGTTAATAATAAGTATCGTGAAAGTCTTTGAGGATCGATTTGGACAAGCAGCAAGCAAAACAAATTCCGATTACTTGCAACGAACCGACGATTGCGCTTACTCCGCCAACCATCGATGCATTCAGAGTGAGCCAATGCTCCAAGCGTTCCATACAGCCTAAAATGACGATATACGCGTTATTACATTCAAAAAAATCTCCACAGCAACACTCCTATCCGTTTTTACGCTTAAAAATGAAATAACATTGAAATAATATTTCGATGTGTTGGTAAATTATATCGTCAAGTATATTTGATTATTCAATGCGATACGTGTCATGCATGATACGCTGAACAAAAATCATGTTAGAAGTCATTAGATATTCTTTGATCAAAACAATAAGTTGGACTAATTGGTCTCACTTGTATATATAATAAATATTTTTGACTTTTATAATTTTCCTATTTTATCTCATCTTGTCTATAATGCTTTGATCAAATAATGTTCAGATGGAAATTTTTTTTGTTGGAGTAATTCAGTAAAAGAGTTTTTTTTCAATAAAATTATCGCCTAAAGTAATAAAAATAAAAAAGACCCAATGTGGTAATGAGAATTTGATAATTTTGATGTAATTTAAATACCTGAAGGATGTAAATTTTGCTGAATTAATCGACAACCAGGTGAAACCTGAATACAGCATGAATCTGGCGGAGTATTCCAGTCTGTATAATTATGCACTCCACAACATGCAAACTGTTTTTGAGTTTGATCCCATGCCATTCGAACACCTGCTGAACGATTGTATCTTTGCAGGCCTAATGTTAGTTGCCGCGATAAAGAAGCCTAAAATCCTAGGACAATAATATGTAAGAGTATTTACACTTGCAAATATGCTTTCATTCTTCGATCGGTGGTTAGTTTATTATTTCTTGTAGTTCAAAGCATCCGTAAATTTAAATTTAAATAATTTGATTCTTTTTGATTTTTAAAATAAAAATAATATCATCTCTGACATATATACTTCATAAAATTGATAAAATTACTCACTTGAAGAGGTTCCTGTAATGCGTAAGCGGCGATAGCAATAGCTGTTTCAGTTGTTAGTACCAAAGTTAGCAGGACAGCGAAGCTTACCGTTAAGCAATAATTCTCCCTGATTGCTCCGCAACATCCCAGAAAACCTAATAGGGAGCATAGTGCACCGGCAGCAAGCAATAGTATTGGTGTTGCTAATCTTTCATCACCCAATATATCCAGTAAACCGGTATACTTCAACTGTAATACTGCACCGGCAATTATAAGACCAAGACCACCTGCCTAAAATTACAATATAGAAATTTCGAAATTATAAAATTGTTGGGATAAAATCTTTCGAAGTTTTATTCTTTTTTGATACTTCCAAGAAAATTTCTCTTTCATTTCCAGTGTGTTTTATTTTTTCAAACATCCAATTTCATCCCTTATTTGTGATGATTAATAAATCATTTGTTACTCTATAATTAATTTGTTATTAGTTGTCATTAAAAGCCTTGTATAATTGAACCATTCCATTCCCTAATATATCAATAAATTAAATGTAGTACTAAATTTATCAATTAATGTAACTCAATCCTGTACTTATTGTATTTTTCATAAAAGAATTAGCAGTGAAGAACTAAAATTCAATTTAAGTTCTATTTATTATATTATACAAATAGGAAATTTAAGTTCTTCGAATGAAAATATAATTGAAAAGCTATGGCGAAACTATTTTTTATAAATAACGAATAAATAAAAAATGTGAACGAACTATTTCACTTCATAAAAACAAAACATTTGGTTTGTTTTGAATGATAAATTTGGAGGAGAGAGGCCTTCTGAAATGAGAAATTTGAGATGTTCGCACTATCGATTCATTCATCATTCATCAAATGAAAAGCACCAAATGGATTGCTTAAAAATTCTCTTAAACCTTTTTTTTCAAGTGTAGTGACCAATTTTTGAATATTTCTTTGATAGAATCAATCAACAAAGAATGGTTCTTTATCAAAGACTTTTCCTATTAGCATAGGCTTTATCTCTTTCGATGTATCAACTGAACATCTCTCGATCTCATCATATGACTGAATTATCTCCTTAAAATGTTAGTAAACATAAATAAATTCTTCCGAATTTCTGAATTTACCTATTCATTGCAGGTTTGATTACGAAATTTAATCTATTGTGATTATAGATTGAATTTTTCAACTTTTAACTTTTAATTCTATTTCATTGATATTACAATTAATCTCACAACATCGTCATAATTAGAGACAATTTCTTTTACGGAATGAGCTATTCTTAGAAAATACATTGGTTTTTTTATGAAATTTTTTTTACTGTTTCAATTGAACTTCGTTATGTGCCTTTGACAAATTAAATTTGAATTGGTCTTTAATGAAATTTCAAAAATATCTGATAGTTAGTAGCATCTTAGCTGTTAGCAGAATTTATTTATTTTTCACAGATTTCAATGCAATTGTTAACGAAAAATAGAAACATAAACTAAAATTGATCTAAAATTAAATGTGCCATTTATTCAATCCACAAGTCTGCTTAACTTTACCCGTTATAATTTACTCCACTCCTAACGAAAAATTCTCGAGACATTTCACATTTTCTACTTATCATCTCATTAACTTTTCTTCATTGCTGGCAATCAAATTTAGATATGTAAGATTAAGATTATCGTAAAAGCCATATGTACACTAGAGATTGTGCTGAAAATGATGTGAAAGTAGGCAGGTAAAGTAAATACTAAGATGTATTCGACATTAACTTACCCATAAACTGAAATTAGCAAGAAAAAGCAAATATTTGACAAGAATAATGCCTCCTTCCACCATCTTCGTTGGAATTTAAAAATTAGAATCGATTTTGTTTCCCTTCTGTGGAGTCTCGAAAGTAATATTAGCTTTGTAGATGAAATAGCAATAATGGAAGCAGTTGGATCCAACGGCAGCAACAGCACCACGACCGCCACAACCAGTAGGCCTACTTATTTCATGTCTACGGAACGGAAAGATTGAATAGAAAAGACACTGGATTGCTGTTTGATTCAGTCCAGCTAAGACATTAGGCTGACTGAAGAGACTAAATTACGACCGAGCCTTTTTCTATACACTTACTCGTAGGCTCGGCCATCTGTGCAGCCTCCTCACAATCTTTATTTTGCACTCATAAAGGCCTCATCCTTCTTTATCATGTTAAATCTTCACAAATTTCTGGAATTCGTCTTCAGAGACTTGCTTGCTTTGATTTGCTCATGTTTATTCACTTCGGCAGTATGACGCCATTTACACAAGTCCTAGCAAAGGATCCATTTATCAAATTTTAATAAAACCAATACTTCGGTGCAAACTTTCATCAAGAATATCGAAGTACGAAAATAAGAGCATAACTTTACTGAATTATGAAGTGTCTGCTAATAATCACTCCAAAACAGGCTCCATCTAAAGATCCACCAATTCAAGGAGTCAATCAATAGAGGAAAAAGTTAACAGATGATAATTAAGTAAACCTGCAATAAAAGCTATTTATTTTTATTTGCGTTATGTGAGTGACAAGCGAGAGCAGGAACAATAGCAAAAATCATCAGCAATACAACGCACATTAAATCTTTAAATAAAGGGTCTTGGAAATACACAGAAACTGCTTTAACAAACTTTGCATCCAGAAAAGCCCTTATGATATATCAAATCTTTTGCATAAGTGAGAAAGAAATTACCTAATCACACTTTAAGATACAAATAATTCAGTCCTGACATCCTAGAAACGACAACAAGCTTCTTATCAACTGATCACTGGATTATTCGTTGAACGTAATCAAATGGAAATTATTTGAAAGCCTACCAATGACTCACAGAAGAATTCCAAAGCGCAATAAACAATGTAGTATCAGAATTTGGAACAATTTCAGAAGCACGCACAAATTCCCTCACCGCTTTGTACGAATATGCTTGTGACGATGGGACCTGAATATTTCATTTTAAGAATACGACATTTCTTTTCAAAAGAGGAAATAATCTAATTTAGAATCTATTCATAGTTCGAACATATCCGTCCATAGTCTTATCATATGTTACTGAATGTTTTATAGAAAAATAGTTATAGAGAGTAAAATATTTCTTTCCAAAAAAAACATTTTTTGCTAAAAAAAATAATCCTTTTTTAATCCTTACCGATCTTTACTGCGGTGGCGCTTATGATGTGAAGGTGAACGACTTTGATGATGTGAAGGTGAACGACTTTGATGTCTTGTCTTCTTCACTCTGTCCTCTGACTCTGAAGATGAAAATTTCTGTCGTTTTGTGCTTCGAAATTCTCCTGCGTCAAACCAATCTGTTTTTTCATCCAAACAGATTTGAGATTTGTGTTTTCCGTCTTTTTCAACTCTTCTCCGCTTTTCACCATGGACAGTCTTTGATACTGACGGTTCACCAAAATCTTCAAAAGGGTGAAAACATTTCTTAAGTGCTTTTCAAAAAGATTTAATGTCGGAAAATCCGAAAATTTGTGATATTAAATTATTCACATCAATTGAGATTTGTATCACTGATAGTTAAGCTGAGGAAGCTGCATTTCGCAATTTGTCTTTGTTAAATTTAATTTCNTTGTGTTGCTATAAATCATTAAGAGATTCCTTATAACGTCTTTGTCCTTTGATTATTTTTTGTCTTTCATAGTAGCAAATACAGCTACCCTTTGTTCTCACCGCTTCTTCCTTCCCCAACATGACATTGTTTGACCCCGGGGTTATCTATTAA